GAGCTGACGTCGGGAGTGGAGAGGTCACCAGCCCGGAGCCCAGTGCATGCGCATGCGCATTCCGCTCCACTTGGGAGCTGATGTCGGGGGAGGAGAGGTCACCAGTTCAGAGCCCGGAGCCCCGCGCTGGATTAAAGTAAGTAACTGAAGGGGTTATAACCCCTTCACCGCCAATGGTGGGGCGACCTAAGGGTTATATATAGTCAGGAAAACGAGTGTGTTTTCCTGACACAATAGTGATCCTTTAAAAATGCAAAATAATATTAAAATATATGTAGATCAATTTAACACAGAATATGTAGGAAATATAAACAACCATGATTACAGGTGCATTCTGTATTGAGATATGTTGCCAGGGATCTCTTAAAGGATTTTAGATTGGATGAAGATTTGATTGAGTCCGTGAGATTATTCCATAATTGCGGTGCTCTGTAGGAAAATAAGGATCAAGCCACTTTATTTTTGTATTGTGGTATACTAAATAAAGTGCATGTACTGAGCGGTGGGTGGGTGGGTGCCCTAAATACTAATAAGAGGCGGACCTAATGTCCTCCCCCCTGGCCCCCACCCCTGGCTGATCTACCTACCTCAAATCCTCATAGATTGTAAACTCCATTATTATCCCCATTCTAAAATTGTAACTCACTGTAGAAAATGTTGGTGCTGTTATAGCAACATTAATATTTATTTATAGAATTGATGGCTATTGGGTGATATGGAAATGCACTTTTCACTACAAACTCAGTCGTTGCCTACAATGTTGCAGGGGTTGCAGTGGGTGAGTGTACAGTGCCCCCACTAATATTGGCACCCTTGGTAAATATGAGCAAAGAAGGCTGTGACAATGTGCATTTAATAAATACCTCTACCTGTCTTATTGGAGATTCTTGGCTGATATAAACAAATCTAATGGCTAGTGTAGGACTCACCTTTTGGGGCTTGCCTTGACGTGGCAGGAGAGCTTATATTCAAATGGACATTGGAATGAAACGAAAGAGCCTCCATTTTGTTTACATTTACATAGGGATTTAGGCCAGAGCTGAGGTAACTAGGCATGTGCATGGGGAAAAGTTTCGGTTCGGTTCGGCATTCCGAAATTCGGGACTTTCGCAATTCGGGACTTCAGCACTTCGGAAATTCGGCAACTTCAGCACTTCGACACTTCTGAATTACGGAACTTCGGAATTTCAGGACTTCGGCACTTCGGGACTTCTCTTGCAGCCGCTTAGTAGATAACTCCCTAATTCCCACGGTATTAGGGTGTTATCTACCAAAAGGCTGAAAGACCTAAATTTGTCTTTCAGCCAAATTTAGTAAATTTTGCCCCTACTCGCTATACTGCGAGTAGGGGCATGTCTAATAAACAGCCTATGGCTGCTCACTGTTAAAAAAAAAATAGGGCCCCCCTCCCTAAAGTAAAATGATTGGGGGGGGGGACCTATTGTCCTCCCCCCCGGCCCCCACCCATGAGCGGTGGGTGGGTGCCCTAAATACTAATAATGTCCTCCCCCTGGCCCCCACCCCTGAGCGGCGGGTGGGGGCCCTACAGTAAAATAAGGGGGGACCTAATGTCCTCCCCCCGGCCCCCACCCCTGAGCAGTGGGTGGGGGCCCTAAATACTAATAAGGGGGGGGGACCTAATGTCCTCCCCCCTGAGCAGTGGGTGGGGGCCCTAAATACTAATAAGGGGGGACACCTAATGTCCTCCCCCTGGCACCCACCCCTGAGCGGCGGGTGGGGGCCCTAAATACTAATAAGGGGGGACCTAATGTCCTCCCCCCTAGCCCCCACCCCTGAGCAGTGGGTGGGTGCTCTAAATACTAATAAGGGGGGGGCCTAATGTCCTCCCCCCTGAGCAGTGGGTGGGGGCCCTAAATACTAATAAGGGGGGACACCTAATGTCCTCCCCCTGGCACCCACCCCTGAGCGGCGGGTGGGGGCCCTAAATACTAATAAGGGGGGACCTAATGTCCTCCCCCCTAGCCCCCACCGAATACTGAGGCATGGGCCCCAACACACAAGGGGACCTAATGTCTCTCGTCCTCCCACCCCCGAGCGGTGTGGGTGGGGCCCCAATTGGAATAAGGGGGACCTAATCCTTCCCCTGGCTCCACCCCTGAGCGTGGGTGGGGCCCCAAATACCACAAGGAGGGGACCCAATATTCCCCTGCCCCCACCTGAGCGCAAGTGGAGGCCCAACACTCATCATATGGGGACCTGGGGTCCCTCTCTTGCCCCACCCCCTGAGTGGTGGGTGGGGCCCTAAATACCACACAAGGGGATCTAATGTCCTCTTCCCGGCCCCCACCCCCTGAGCCGCTGGGGCCCCAATTAAATGGGGCCTATTGTCCCCCGCCCCCACCCCTGAGCGGCAGGTAGGGGCAACCAAAAAAAAAATGTTGTTCCCCCCAGGTGACTAGGGGTCCCCAAACCCCTAATCACCCCCTCCCCCAAAAAACATTATTTCCTTTACATACCCCTCCTCACCCTAAAAAATAATGAGGGGGACCTATAACTGGGTACCTGTAAAAAAAAAAAAAAAAAAAAATTACCATTCGATGTTTTCTTTCTTCTAAAATCTTCTTTTTTCAGCCCAAAAAAAGGCCAAATAAAAACCCATAATAACCGACGCAATTTTAAAAAAAA